GTGCTAGTCATTCCTGACTCTAGGGTGGGGTGCTAATCTCCGTTTCAAAGCCAAAGAACCAGCGCTGTCTGAAGATGTCTCCGTGGTCATGTGGCCAGCATGACTAAATGCCGAAGGCGCCCAGAACGCTGTTACCTTCCCACCAAAGGTGGTTCCAAGCGCCAAGGTGGCACAGTGGTTAGGGTGCAGTACTGCAGGCCACTTCAGCTGACTGTTATCTGCAGTTCAGCGGTTCTAATCTCACCGGCTCAAGGTTGACTCAGCCTTCCATCCTTCCGAGGTGGGTGAAATGAGGACCCAGACTGTGGGGGCGATATGCTGACTCTGTAAACCGCTTAGAGAGGGCTGAAAGCCCTATGAAGCGGTATATAAGTCTAACTGCTATTGCTATTTTTACATGCTTTTGAACTACTAGGTTGGTAGAAGCTGGGACAAGTAATGGGAGCTCACCTGTTACGCTGTGCTAGGGATTCGAACCACCGAACTGCCGATAGGATTATCTATCAGCAGAGCTCACCACATGGCACAACTAAGCCCCTATATCACCCAGCAAGGTTCAACCAACCTTAAATCAGACAACCTCAGCTGGACCCCCACATACTTCCCTGGAAGTCTGACAACCAATAGGATACATTTCTTGCACAGGAGCAGGAAGTTCTAGGGCAAGGTCCAAGAGAGAGTATAAATATATATTTCTCTCCACTCCATTTGGTCAGCTACCCAGAATCACACGTGCTTGGTGGTTCTGCTTCACCATTGAAGTGTCTTTCTCCACCCTTGGAACTGAACCCAGATGGACATTTCTCCCTACAGAATAAAGTGACTTATTCTCCATCCTGCCCCAGAACATGGCGACTTTTATAAAGTAAGAAAGGTGACTATGAAATGTTAAGCAGTCTTCTGAGAAAAGGAATTTATCTCCTCAGTTTGAGGCTGAGTCAACCTTGAGCCTCATCAGGATGATCAAACTCTAGGCTGTGGGCAGAATTAGCCTGCAATGCTGAATTCTAACCACTATGCTACCATGTTGAGAGAAAATTCTTCTTTACCCATTTGGACCACAAATATCTGTAAAAAAAAAGAGGCAGATCGTAGGCATTGATCTTTATATCCTTATATTTTTATTGACTCAGCCTTCCATCCTTCTGAGGTCGGTAAAATGAGGACTCAGATTGTTGGGGGCAATATGCTGACTCTGTAAACCACTTAGAGAGGGCTGTGAAGTGGTATATAAGTACAAATGCTATTGCTATTGACCCTGAATTAATGTAGTTACGTTGTGGCATGCAAATCATACCTCTAATTATTTTCTTGTTCCATTGTACCGTGTTTCCTGAAAATAAGCCCTAGCATGATTTTTCAGGATGCTTGTAATATAAGCCCTAACCCCAAAATAAGGCCCAGTTAAGATCATCAGCCAGACGGATGCATTCAGTACCATATTTCCTGAAAATAAGACCCAACCAGAAAATACGCCCTAATGCATCTTTAGGAGCAAAAATTAATATAAGACCTGGCCTTATTTTTGGGGAAACACAGTATTAAAAATTCCAGGCTTGGGACAGCTTTTGGAGATCTCTAGATCTCTTGGGCAATTTTTCAAGCGCTTCAAGTGTCTGTAATACGTCTCTGTTCTAAAGTGAGCCTTTTAAAAGAATGTCCCTTTGTTTTTTGTGGGTGTGCTAATTATGAATATATTATATCATACATTCTTACCAAATCATTATGTAACATGTTTTACATAACACTGTTTCCTAGTTTGAAGATGGATATGTGGTAAGCTTTACTTCTGAATAGAAATCTGCCTAACTGGGCATCTTCCTGTTTCGGTCTACACAAAACTTTTGAATAGGACAGTAATCCAAAATTGATGGATGTTACTAAACAGAGAGAAATTAAGAGGCAAATAGCTCTGGTTCATGAATCAGTTGCCTTCCATTGAACAGGAAATGGTTTCATTGGAAGACTGTAGCATAAACTTACAATCACATCTTAAAGGTATTTGTATCTTTAACTCTTTGTTAAATCCTCACATTGTAAAAATATCAGCATGGATATCATCCAGCTCTATGGGAAAAGTCTTACAAACAAACAAATGGATAAAATAGTTCACATCTATTTTTTGCATTAGTTACTCTAGTGCAATAGCAGGCGAGAGAAATCTCTGAAATATAGAGCAGGAACTAGCATACAAATCTAATCAAAGCTGATAATTTTCTGCTTCAACCAACATGGGTGTCCCACCATCAAACTTAACTTTTTTATGCTTTCAGAAAGTTCTCCATCAGGGGCACTGAGAATGCTATTTGCATTACTGTGTACAAAGGGAAAGTTAGAAAGAATAAATGTGGAACCCCCCCAAAGGGGTTTCTGGCTTGTGCCTGGAGAAGGGATTGGCAGAATTTCAATTTAAAGGGTAGAAGAGATGACAGACAGTAAGACATGGGAAAGTGTTGTGGTCCACCAGTGGCCTACAGAGCTTGCAGCAGAGTTGGGCAGTGAGGAGGTTGGGGAAGAACATGGGCCAGTCCTGGAGTCTGGTGAAGGCTCAGAGGAGGGCTCTGTGTCAGAGGCAGAGAGGGGGCCAGGACTATCTGGGAGTTATGTGTTCCTCCGGAGCCTCCAGAGTTGGACATCAGCAAGACAGAATAGGGGGAGCCTGTTCCCAGTGCATGCATGCGCAGAGCTGCCAGAAGACAAGAACAGTTTAGATAAAAGGGGCAACTCGAGAGTAAGGCTTGGAGATGATTGGCCCCTCCCATAAGACATAAAGGAGGAGCAAAGGCACGTGAGCCTTCGCAGGAAGCAACTTTGTTCATTCTGGTTGGTTTAAACTCTGAAGCTCGGTTTTGACTCTGTGCTCTGTGTGGCCTTGCAAAGCTAATTGGCAATTAGGCAGCATTTCAAGGGAGATAAAGGTTGGTGCTTATCAGCCTTATCCTGAAAGACTGTGGCAGATTTACGTTGGACTCTTTACAAACTATTTGTGAGTCATTATGGACTGTGAATGAGCATAATTCACAGCCGTTGAAATAAAAAGAGGGTTTTGGGGACTAAGTGTGTGCTTTTTACCGTCTCAGGAAACCTAGGTCAGAACAGTAAGATATTTTGGCTGAACATTGAGCAAAGGAGGCATGATCAACTGGATAGACTTGAATTATGAATGTTGTGCAAATATGGAATTAACAATTGTGAATATGATGATTGTTTATTTACGTATAATTGCCCACTCCACTCCAGTAGACTCTGGAACAATAGAGAATGGAAGTAAAGCATGTGTAAGAATAGGTGGACTGTAGAAATAGCTCAGAGTGTTAACAAACAAGGATGGGTGATGCGGTTGGAAAGATCACAGAGATGTCTTGGTTGAGGATGTGAATGTTCATCTATTTAAGCATGCAAAGTGTGTTCTTGGCTGAGAATCGGAATGACTTGCATCAAATTTTAATAGGACAAGGAAGACAGGGCTGAAAGATAATGTTTAAAAGACCCAGGATTTATTCCACATGGAAAATGGAGTCAACAATAACAGATTATAACTAAATGAGAGAAAACTAGACCAAACTAGACCAGATGAACTTGTGTATGTTGGCAGAATGGTTAGAAAAGATGGGGAAATGGAGGGGGACATTTTAAGTCATGCAAATCCTGTGTCAGCCTCTGCTTTGCTGCTGCTTTGGCTGCCATTGAAACGGGGAGTGGGGGCATGGTATTTGGGAGGGGAATCATGATGTGCTGGAGGAAGATTCTAGACGCTGACCTGACCATCTTACTGCGCATGTGGAAGAAGGGAGTTTCCCGCCAAGGTTAACTGTCCAGCATTCCATCCTGGTGATGTCTTTTGAAGTTATCTCCCACCTGACAGTTGGGTGCATTATAATTGGACTATGGACTGGGGTGCCAAGGGGAGGGGATTGAATTATACATGATCTTCTTTGCTTTCACGCCTAATTAACCAGATTCAGCTTAGCTTTGCTACTGTTTGCTTATAATT